GCTGGTGGCAGCCATCATCCACCCCAACGGCAACAAGAACATTGCCGAGTTCCTCCTTACTGAGGGTCTCGCAAGATGCAACGACTTCCACTCCACCATGCTCGGCGAGAAGATGGCCGGCCTTCGTGGTGCTGAGAAGACGGCTCAGGGCAAGAAGCTGCGCATCCATCAGCACCACGTTGCCAAGGCTGACGGCGCCTCTTCCGACATGATTGTCGCAAAGATTATCGGCGCAGACACCATCATTGTTCGCAACAAGGCTGGTGACAAGGAGCAGAGGGTCAACTTCAGCAGTATCCGCGGCCCTCGCACCAACGAGGCGTCAGAAGCCCCTTACAAGGAAGAGGCCAAGGAATTCTTGCGCAAAAAGATTATCGGCAAGCATGTCAAGATTAGCATCGATGGCTCCAAGCCTGCTACCGACGGTTACGAGGCCCGCGAGGTTGCCACAGTTACGGAGAAGGGCAAGAACGTTGGTCTCGAGCTGGTTGAGGCTGGGTACGCGACTGTCATCCGTCACCGCAAGGACGACACTGACCGCTCTCCCAACTATGACGAGCTTCTTGCTGCCCAGGAGAAGGCCAAGGAAGAGAAGAAGGGTATCTGGTCTGGCAAGGCCCCCAAGATTAAGCAGTACGCCGATGCTTCCGAGTCTCTGCAAAAGGCCAAGATCCAGCTCGGCACTCTGTCAAGGCAAAAGAAGGTGCCCGCCATCGTTGACTTCGTCAAGTCTGGCTCTCGCTTCACCATCCTGATTCCCCGTGAGGGTGTCAAGCTGACGCTGGTATTGGGTGGCATTCGTGCTCCTCGTGCCCCGGGCCGTGGAGGCGACAATGGCGAGGAGTTTGGTCAGGAGGCCATTGACCTTGCCAGCCGCCGCTGCAACCAGCGTGACGTCGAGGTCGACATTTACGACATTGACAAGGTTGGAGGTTTCATCGGTGACCTGTACATCAACCGTGAGAACGTCGCAAAGCTGCTTGTCGAAGAGGGTCTGGCCTCTGTTCACCGCTACTCCGCCGAGAAGTCTGGCAACGCCACCGAGCTGCTTGCGGCTGAGAAGAAGGCCAAGGAGGGTCGCAAGGGACTGTGGCACAGCTGGGACCCGTCTCAGGAGGAGGAAGAGGAGGCCGAGGCCGTCGAGACCACCAATGATACCCCCGAGGCGTACGAGAACAAGCCCAAGGACTACCGCGATGTTGTTATTACCAACATTGATGGCAACGGAAAGATCAAGATCCAGGAAATTGGCAAGGGCACTGCTGCGTTGACGACCCTGATGAACGACTTCAAGAAGTTCCACATCAACTCGGCAAACAGCAAGCCCATCGGCGATGCGCCCAAGGCTGGTGACTTTGTCGCCGCCAAGTTCTCTGCCGACGGAGAATGGTACAGAGGCCGCATTCGCTCCAACGACCGCGCAGCCAAGGTTGCGGAGGTTGTCTACATTGACTACGGTAACACGGAGAAGCAGCCCTGGTCCAAGCTGAGACCTTTGGACCAGCCTCAGTTCACCACGCAGAAGCTCAAGGCTCAAGCAATCGACGCCTCGCTCTCGTTCCTGCAACTGCCCACTGCGCCGGAATACTTTTCAGAATCCATTGGCTTCATTGCCGAGTTGACCGAGGGTAAGGAGCTGGTTGCCAGCTTCGACTTTGTCGACACCAAGGAGGGCGTCAGCTACATCACCCTCTTTGACTACAACGCAGGCGACAAGAAGCCGGGCCCGAACGACTCAATCAATAAGGAGATCGTCGCCAACGGCCAGGCCATGGTGCCCAAGAAGCTCAAGGCGTGGGAGCGCAGCGGCCAACACGCCGCTTATCTGAAGCACCTGAAGGAGGTTGAGGCCAAGGCCAAGGAGGAGCGCCTCGGTATGTGGGAGTACGGCGATATCACTGAGGACTAAATGAATTGGGAGGAACAGCTTTTTGGAGGGTGGCGGCGGTTTTAGGAAAACACAAAAGTCACTACATAATTCACAGTAGCCTTGCATGAATCAACAGGCTACATGAAGCCTTGTCAAATTGTATTTTGCCTTTTTCGCAAAGCATGGAAACAAGGGAAATTGGATGTCTCGTGATGTTGTTCGGAAATCGTTGAGTTGAGCTGTTGCGATATTCGCAATAGCTTCCTCGGAATTACGTAATGGAGGGGCTCCAACTTCTCGGTGCCGTTCCATGTGGGTTTTTGGTCGGGATCGTCGGCCGGTCGGCTCAAAGAGTTCCAGGCCTGACTTTTGAGACTCCCAGGCGAAGAGAAATACTGGCGAGTCCCGAGTCCCGAGCGGGAAGAGGACCCAAGAAGGGCCCCGTTTTCTACGCTCGCCAATAGTGCGCTTAGAATAGAACTCACGGGAAACTGGACGCGCTGGGTATGGTCGCTCTCCGCGAGATGGCGAGGGCGAGCCTAACCGCCTGGGTCTGGCAAGAGTACGTAGGTTGGTTGGGTGTGGGATATTGGTGGGATTGTTAAAGTAGGCGGTGGAAGGTCAGAGAATACCGGGAACCGGAGTTTCCTCATTCGAAGTGGGGGTCAAGAAAGGGCGACTTCGGGGGCGAGTCCGGGTTCAGGCCGCTGGCTGGCTGTCACTGGTGGCTTCGAGCTCGTCGGACATTGGCGCGGAACTGGGAGGGTCGGTAAAATACGATTCCTAATCCCACGATAACGGGTTCTGCGCTCTGATTGATTTCTGCTGTACCCGTGGTCTTTCTCACTTTTCGTGCAAGCGTGACTGACTGGACTGGCATGGGGGTGCGCAGTGAAGAGTGAGGGAGTCTCCTGCGAGATAAACCCGCCATGGCAACCGAGGGGCAATTGAGGCGGCGGCGGGCGGATCTGACGGATAAAGTCCAAGAGGGACGAGGCCCGGCCAATACGGTACGGGCACCTTGTTACGACGTCTGAGATGCTTGGCTGTCTTGAACCAATTAAGAGCGATGGCGAGCACGTGGTGGAAGGCGAGAAGCACGATGGACGGAATGGAGGGATTTAGAGGAAGTTGAGAACTTATGGATGGATGGGCTGAGTCACAATGCCAAGTGAAGATGATTGTTACGCATTCATTTGGTTTGGGAAGAGTTCAGACCATTGTAGTGCAGAGGATACTTTTGAAACAACTTGGAGCGGCATGCCTTTTTACCCAGGTACGGTAAGCAATGTGCCGCTGCCAATGTTGTGTACGGACTACCTAGGTACGGGTAGATGGGGGCAACGATTGCGGCGATGGTGGGTTATTTGGGCCGAAGGAGATGGCTCATATTTCCGATATGAAGAAACGACGGCAACGGACGTCTCAGGGGAGCTAGCCAAGTGCCTGTAATTAGGTCGCATTCTTACTAGCTAGAGTCCAGTACTATAGTTTCATAGAAGCCGCCGGAACGGACGGGGGCCACCTACGGCGACGGCGGGATGGGAACGGCGATGGCGAACGGCGGCGTGTGACCCAGCAGTTTTGACATCGCCTAACACCGAAGAGATGATACATCCGATTCCGCCCATACGGTACTTTGAAGGCTCTGGATCTCGAGTCGGGCCTACGAAGACGATATCTCTGGTCTTCCGGGTTCTTTTTGTTCGCCCCATATCGAAAGAACCCGGGCAAGCTGCTTTATTCGCTTTTTTGACGCCTCAGCCGATATCTTCCTTGGTTTTCGTCTATTAGGAACGATGGATTACTCTGGTAGATGGGGTTCCGTTGTCCTGAGCGACTCGAAATTCCCATACACGGATCGCGATTCGCGATTTTTCTCCGTTTTCTATGGGTACCATTACGTCGGATTTCCTCTTCTTGGGCCTGTGCAGATACGAATAAAGCAGCAGCCTCGCAGCATGCGGGTAAACCAGACTCCAAGAGCGTGAGAGCGATTTTTTAGAAACCAGCCTTGGCTAGCATTGAGGATATCCGACAGGGACTTGCGACAGCCAAAAAGCGGAACCGCCGAATGTGAATGTTTTTTCGGATCCAGCGAAAGGTGACATTCACGGTAGATAAAAAAGGACAGCAAGCAGCAATGGCCAGCAGCATTATTCAAAACTGGCATCGAGTTCCACGGAAAACACTGGGGGTATGACGATGATTCTGGGTCATGGAGGGGCGGATGTTGATGGGGGCTCCTTACTTTACGGAGACCTCTATCGCTGGGTCGTGCCTGATGCTGCAAGCTGAAGCAAACTGCACCACCAGCACAGCAACTCTGCAGCAGCCTTACTCACGGCCGTCTGCGAGGTGTGGGTCACCACGACGTAATGATACCCCGCCAAACGGTGGGCGGGGGATAAGTACAAAAAAAAAAAAAAAAAAAAAAGACTCGCCGTGACGGTGACGGTCAATGGCTGATGTAAGTAAGTCTAAGCACTCGACGCAGAGAGCATCCAAAACGGTACAGAGTACGGAGTAGGGGCCGAGAGATGAACCAACAACCTGCCTCTCCAAGCAGTCTTCAAGAAGTCAAAAAGAATTTGATCGGCATTCCAGAAGAAACTGCATTGAATAACCTAGTCAGTTGTAATGGCACAAGGAACATTGGGTCCATATTCTTGAACGGCCAGGGCTCTTGATCGTGGATACGGACAGGATTCTGCAGCATCACAACCATTCAATGTACTTGAGATTACTACCGTCAGATTCTCTCATCTTCGGGGAAGGCGCGGCGGTTTTTGCTCATGTCATGTACCAAGGTGCAAAGGTACGAAGTACTCTCAGATACGTGACACTCTTAGACCCACACTAGGGGGGGCGGCTACCGTCCGTCGTCCGGGCGTGGGAGGTGTGTGAGGTGTGAGGTGCGAGGATGAGGGACAAATTACCCCTCGCCCCCGTCTTCCGGGGGAGGTACGGTACGGTACGGTGCGCTTGTTCCTCAACAAAGATCTACTACTTCAACGACCTGACATCCTCTTCTATTTCTTTCCTCTCCTCTCTCTCTCTCTCTCTTCTCTTCCTCCTCAAGCCAAATCTCCCACCAACAACCGCCACAATTCCTTCATCAAACATCACCATGTCTTCCTCTCTCGACCAGCTCAAGGCCACCGGCACCGTCGTCGTCAGCGACTCTGGCGACTTTGCCTGTCAGTCCACCCCGCCTTCCTCCCCGCCATTCCCCCAAAATCTCTCAAAAACTTCCTGATCACCACTTTGCCACCATAACCTCGATCCATCACAGCCAACACGATTAATGGATTGGGGCATGATACCAATACACAGATGATGTTTGCTGACTCTACGACTATACAGCCATTGCCAAGTACAAGCCCCAGGATGCCACCACCAACCCTTCCCTCATCCTCGCCGCCTCCAAGAAGGCCGAGTACGCCAAGCTGATTGACGAGGCCGTTGCCTCCGCCAAGAAGCAGGGTGGCTCCGTCGACGAGCAGGTCGACAACGCCCTCGATGCCCTTCTCGTCGAGTTCGGCAAGGAGATTCTCAAGGTCGTTCCCGGCAAGGTTTCCACCGAGGTTGACGCCAGCCTCTCATTCGACACCAAGGCCTCCGTCGACAAGGCCCTGCACATCATTGACGTACGTCTTGTATCCCGACGTTGAACAGTTTTGAGCAACTTTGCTAACAACCACCCCAGCTGTACAAGGCCCAGGGCATCTCCAAGGACCGCGTCCTGATCAAGATCGCCTCCACCTGGGAGGGTATCAAGGCCGCCGAGATCCTTCAGCGCGACTACGGCATCAACACCAACCTGACCCTGATGTTCTCCATCACCCAGGCTATCGCCGCCGCTGAGGCCGGTGCCTACCTCATCTCCCCCTTCGTCGGCCGTATTCTCGACTGGTACAAGGCCGCCCACAAGAAGGAGTACACCAAGGAGGAGGACCCCGGTGTCAAGTCCGTCGGCACCATCTTCAACTACTACAAGAAGTTCGGCTACAAGACCATTGTCATGGGTGCCTCCTTCCGCAACACTGGCGAGATCACCGAGCTTGCCGGCTGCGACTACCTCACCATCTCTGTACGTTTGCCACCTCTCACCGTATCCTCAGATGTTCCAAAGACACCGGTAACTAACACCTTCACTAGCCCAACCTCCTTGAGGAGCTCCTCAACTCCGACGCCCCCGTCCCCAAGAAGCTCGACGCCGCCGCTGCCTCCAGCCTCAACCTTGAGAAGAAGTCCTACATCAGCAACGAGCCCCTCTTCCGCTTCGACTTCAACGAGGAGCAGATGGCCGTCGAGAAGCTCCGTGAGGGTATCTCCAAGTTCGCCGCTGATGCCATTACCCTCAAGGACATCATCAAGCAGAAGGTCCAGGCATAAATTGTCTGTCCGGATGTGGAAGCGACGTAACAAAAAGAACAAAAAGCCACGCCCGCGGGCGAGAAAACTTTCCCGTTGGGAGGAGGATACATATCATGATGTGAGAATGACTTAATGAGAAGGAAAACAAACAAATCCACCCCATCACACACATAACACACCCCCAGCAAACGGCGCGTCAAGTGATGAAAGAGGCGCTGAGTTGTGGAAGTCAACTTATTTTTTTCGGAGGGAGGCATAAAATCAATAAGATAGACTGCTTGGTAGCAAAAATCCGAGAAATTGGTCTCCCAATGTCCCGAGTTCAGAATGTGAACTTGTATTGCTCTAATGACTAAAACTCCTTGTGTGATGATGGTGATGCTTTCCTTCATTAGGGTAGTTACTGCTGTTTGCGTCCCAATACTGCATGGGCGCAACTTATTTTTGTACAATGAACCGTCTCTTGGTGGTGTGGTAAAGAAGTTAGCGATGACTTCTAGGTATATCCATCTCCGTAGTTCCCCTCCCTTGAGATGAGGAAGTGTTGGGCAGCCAGCCCATACACATGCAGCTGGTTCTGAGTGGCCGTCTTGGACATGCCGTACGCTTGATATGCGTCTTTTTTCTTTCTTTCCTTCTTCTTTCTTAATGATTTTCCTCTGTACCGTTTCCTCTGTACTGGGAAGACGGGTTAATCTCTATGACTTGGCCTCGTCCACCTCCTCTCTGCTCTTCTTTCCCTTCTTACTCTTCTTATGCTTCTTGTTCCTCTTCCTGTCCTTTCGCCCCTCGTCCTTGTTGCACTTTGTGCTCTTGATGGTATGGGTGACGCCGCCCTCGGCGGAGGCCTCGATGACGAGGGCAGTCAGCTCCCCGCCGTTGACGCAGCCTGAGTCGAGACCGAACGTAAACTTGTCAATCTGCAGACCGCGCTTCGAATCGTGGCCGTAGGCGACCGCGGTGCGGGGTTCCTTTTCGGGCAGTGCCTTTTGGTGCGCGTTCCACGCCTTGGGCCAGCTGCTGGAGCCGTCGCGGCGGTCGGTGGGGATGGCGATCTTGCGGTCGTGGGGTTTCCGCCGGCGCTCGTGCTCGCGCTGGATCATGGTCTCGGTGACACCCGGGGCGGCGGTGTGGGTCCTGCGGTAGTCTTCGAGGGCGCGGTGGGCTTCTTGTCGGCGGAGCTCCTCGCGTGGGTAGACGAGGCCGCGCATGTTCATGACGGCCCAGGGGTCTTGGTGTTTGAGGGCGAGGCCCGGGACGAGGCCTGCGTGGACGACGACGAGGTTGCCGCCGATGGATTCTACGGCGCCGACGTCGAGGATTACGGGGAGGGTGGAGAGCCACTTGAGTTGTTTGCGGGTGAGGGAGCGGGCGGTGGCGCGTTCTTTGGAGTCGCCGTGGGGGAAGATTGAGGGTTCGAGGTCGTCTTGTTCGGTCTCTTCTAGCGATGCTTCGTCTTCGTCCTCGCCGTCCTCGTCCTTGTCTTCGGGCTCGGGTGAGGCGTTCTCGCTGGGGGACTCTTCTGACTTCTTGTCCTCCTCCTTGTTCTCCTCGGCCTTTGGTTGACCTTCCTCGTCTCTCTTGGTGACAGGATTGCCGTGAGCATCCGAGTCGGTAACGTAGGTTGTTTTCATGTTCTGGTGTGCGAGAAGCACGCGATCCTCGTGGTTTCCGCGTACAGCGGATGCGCCGAGGCGCATGGCCAGGTCGAGGACGCCGCGAGAGTCGGGACCCTTGTTGATCATGTCGCCAGCAAGGACGAGGTGGTCGCCGCGAGACTTGTCAAAGTGCAGCTCCTCAAGTAGTCTGTCGAGGGAGACGCGCATGCCGTGGACATCGCCAACAACGATGAGCCTGCGGCTCGGGTTCTCGCGGGAGGGAAGGTGACGGTCCGGGAGGTTAGCGATGTGAACGGAGAGGTCGGTGAAGCCTGGGCGAGCGGTCTCGCCGTAGGACATGGGCGCATCGGCTGGTGAGGGCTCGGATGCGGTTTTGGCAGCGGGCCGGCGGCGGATGGCTGATGTGAGGTCTAAGGAGGCGAGGCGGGCTGCCGCGAGGAAGATTGTGGTCAGGATGAAGAAGGCGGCGACGCAGACTACGCCACGCCGCGGGCGGGTTGGAGCTGGGAACGACATGGTGGTGACCTTCTTTCTCTGTGGATTCTGGTGTGTGCGTAGGTCTTTTCCTTTTCTTTTGCCGTCAGGGTCTCCCGCTGCGCAATGTGTTGAGACGAGACGAACCGGCCTGGGTTTGGTTGCTGAACCCACGACGAGGTTGAACACCCACTTATATGGGATTCTTGTCGTCTTTCTGAAATAGGATGTCGAAGCGGGTACCTTGAAGCTTTGCAGATGAGGACCTCGTGGGTTTTGTATCCGCAATGGTGGCGGTAGGCGCCTTTCTTTACCCGTGCCGTGGTTATCCACCCAAGCTTAAACCGCCGCAAGCTTTCGTTTCGAGATTGGGTTTACGCGTGCGGGCTGTGGCGCCGCTGGAATGAGCGAATTGGAGATGGGACGGGACGGGATCGTTATTTTTGACGTATGCGGATGGTTTGACAGCGTCGAAGGCTTTCCCCAGTGTCGAAAAGTATGGAATTCTGGGGGGTGAGGGAGGCCGCGTGTACGGAAATGGGATGTCGCTTTCTCTATTTTTTTCGAGTAGTTCTTATCGCATTGATGGAAAGGGGCCCGGCGCAGTCGTCGTCGTCGTCGTCCGACAGGGGTGGCCGCGCATGCGTGGATCTTTAGGAGAATTAGGGTCGTCTAAGATGTATTGCCTCCAAAGCCTCGTCTCCTCAGTATCCGTAAGGGAAAAGATAGGGAAACGAGAATAGGAGGAAACAAACGATGAAAGAAAACGCAACCAAAGAGAAACAGGCTGACAGGACACGAGGGAAAGAAAATACCAAGACGTCTGGGCGGAAACGAGGGGAGGAGGAGGGAGGAAGGATGAATGGAGGATGCCGTGCAGATTTCGCCAAGAGAATACCTTGGAAGAGAAATCTGAACACTGATGAATGACCAGGCTTTGCCAGGCTCACCTACACCAAATGACCGGAGTTAGGTAGGCAGACTATCCTTAGGTCCTTAAGGCTTAGGGGCCAAGATGGGCTGTTTGCGTCGCCAAGTCGAGTATTCTGGGTGCAGATTCGGTGCAATCCGCTGCAAATTGGTGCAATTTGCTCGTCGACTTCTGGGAAAGTCGGCACGCGACGTGGCATGCGACCCCTGCGACCCCTGCAACTTCCCGCTGGGCGCCTTCCCCGTCCCCGTCAGCAGCGTCAGCACCTGCACCTTGCTGATCTGCTCCTCCCAATACTGCGTATCCGTACTTACTGCCTGCACATCTGCACTGCTGCAGTCAATCAGTCAGTCAGTCAGTCAGTCATTCAGTCCGCAGCCGTCCGGTCGTCATCTAGTCTGTGGGCGAAGGATCAAGGTGGGCGGGCTCGCCCCCATCAATAAATGCAATTGGCTCGCGCCAGAGAGGAAAACACAACGGCGGGGCGGGGATGGGGGCAGCCGGGCGGAACCTCAGAAGGCATTCTCTTCCACGTTGCTCAAGGTCAATTCCTCGTGCCCATCATTCTTCCTAACGTACTAACCTAGAGTTGCTTCTCCTCTAGACTCTAGACTACTCTTTGGGAGGAATCCCCAGCTGATCTACAATCACTACTGCTGACGATCGGCAGGGCTGAGTCTCCAGCCTTGAGTTACTCCCGTCCACTGAGACATAACCCCTTCGCGTAACATTCTTCTCATTCTTCGCCCGAGTCCCACTCGACGGGACCGCTCTTTTCACTCACAGCTATCCCATACGAAGCACCTGCCCGTTGCTGTACTGTACTGCCCTATATTTGCCTCGAGGCTCCGGGCGGTGCTCTCTGATACCAAGGTGCCAAGGAAGTACGTCACTGCGGCACAGCATTCCATCTCACAAGTTCCTCAACGAAACCAATTAACCAACCCCCCAACCCCTGTCTGGTGCAATAGTTGCGGCCTCGGCGTACACCCTCTTTGGAAGGTCGACTTGCCGAGTTATCCAGAAAACTTGGAGCTAGCTTGGTTGGCCTCCAAATGTCTTAGAAGACGTTAAGAAAGAAGAAAGTTCGAACTGGGGGCGGATTGATAGAGTTGAATCCAGTTTAGCAGAAAGTCTGCCGTGCAGGGCTAGCAACGGCAGCTAAACTCCCTACGTTTAAGCTCATCCCGGCATACAATGTAGTAACTAAACTTTCCATGTCTTCGGAACGCCTTTGTAGATGCGCCGGCTTGCTTTCTAAAAGGACTTAGAGAGCACTTGCCAACTCACGCAAGCTTTTGCTGACTAGGCCCGTATAGTACGTAGAGGGGGCAGTCTGAAGTCAGAAACATGTTTCTTCAACGGCCGCAACGCCTGTACAACGCCATTGGCAAAGTTTAGTGGTGCTGAGTTGTCGGCCACAAAGCGCTACTCTCATCATGGTCACAGGTCGGGCGCTGCCCACAAATGAGTGTGATTTGAGAAAAATCAACCTCTGGAGCAATTCCCCGTTAAGAGAAGAGGTCAAAAATGTAAAATTACTTGAGATAGCAAAAGATTTTGACCAGCATGGGGGTCGAACCCACAATCTCCTGATTCCACGGTGTGTCGTAGTCAGACGCCTTGCCATTGGGCCAACCGGCCAGACAATTGAAAACATCTCAGATGTTCGTCTTGGGAGGTGGCGTCGAAGTGCGTGTTAAGTAGTCCGCGAGCCGAGCGTCGCGCGAAGTTGTCGGCTTCTTCAGTCTCTTCCGTTCGAGTGTGATCCCGATCTCGAGGCTTAGATCAAGTTTCTGATCCTTAGGGCTTGCTGAGAAGAATCAAAATTGTTTGGTCACTTTCTTTGACTAAATGACGTCGGGGATTGTCAACTTCAAAGTGTGTAGAAACAATAGTTGTAATTTTAAATCTCTGTCCTTGAGAAGATTTGTTTCCAATGACTCTGGTAGCCTTTGACAAACCTTTCTTGTCCCGATTCCGCAAGCAATGGAAAGTGTAGCAGTTATCAATCATATACTCTGTCTCGAACTCAAAAGAAATTACTGGCATCTTTAGGTCTACCCAGAGCCACCAACCTCAGACCTCCCACTCATTGTTAATACCTTCTTAAGGTCCAGTTTGGCCTTGAGGTCGTTCGATACGTAGACCTCTTGTGAAGAAAACGACTTGCTGGATTTGACTTGGTTGAGAACTGACAGTAGAGAAACAGCTACAAATGCTTCGTCGTATAATGTCCACTCTGGAGCCGCTTCTGGCAGCCCTCCGACATTCGCTCTCAGTAGGCACACACATAAGCAAGTCTGACAAAAACAGAAGAATGAACAATCTCATATTAGCAGTAATCGGCCCCAAAGGCTGTGGTAAGACGACCTTCATCCGATCCCTGTTCGAAACCGCAGGCGACTACGCAGTTGCCCAAGATGACGACGTTAGCATACACACCGCCAACCTCGATGAACAGAACCTCCAGATACATCTCATAGACACACTCGGCCTCTCCCCCGACAAGCGGTACCTCCCAGACACCAATACACTCAACTACATCAAGACCCGGCTCGAATCCATGGACAAACAAATAGACGGCGTCATCTACCTCCAGCGCGTCATGGATCTAAGCAACGCTGACTACGCAGTTCGTAACCTGAACGCTTTTTCGAACGTCTTCAGCTCCCGTCGGTTCCGACATGCCGTCGTGGCTGCCACGAACTGGGATCGTGTTGCGAGTGAGACTGACAGCTCGGTGCTCGAGGGGTATTTCTACGATTATCTAGACCGTGTGTGTATAATCAGCTCAATGGGAACACGAATTCAGCGAGCGAGACTGAGCGACTCAACAGATGCAAGCCGGGATCTTTTGGAAAGTATTCGGCATGTCGAGAGCCCGGAGCCGTCTCCGCCGCCTTCACCACCACCACCACCTACCCCGGCTTCACCGTTACCTTCGTCTCCCGCCCCCGACGAATCTTGGGCTCCTGGTGGTCAGGATCGTGAGAGGTCACCATCTGCTGCGACGAAACACATCCGTAAGTGTACGAACTTGAGAAGGGGCTGTCTTTGTACTGAAGGAGGATCCAGAGATAGACGACCTCCAACAGATCTTGGCCGAGCTCGCGTCGGACGGCGAGGGGACTGGTGCAGACCACCACAAAGTTGAGGATGAACGGCCTTGTAGGGTCGAGCACGTGTTGGCAGATTCTGAGTAGGTTTTGCCGAGGTTTCGTCCAAGAGGCCTGTTGTTTAGGCCTCTGGTGATGCAACGTAATGTAAGTTACTCAAGTACGGATCAATGCAGTGGGGCAGTATTATACAAGATGAAATCGCTACATTGTAATAGCCATGGGTGTTACCTTGAGGCGTGATAGATGTATTCCCTGAAGTTACAGTCACAGAAAAGAATCCTTCATGTGGCGCCTTTGAACACAATTTCTTGCGATCGTACTCGTAAAAGGCAGCATGAATATCATTGACTTGGTAGTACGCGGTCGTTGAAGAGTCTTTATGTGAGCTTTCGGTGTATGCAACTCAGGTTGCACAACATTCATAGATGTACTCACGCACCTTATCATTGTTCCAAAGAGGCGGCTGAGATCCTGGAAAATCCCAACTGCCGACATGATTCGAAAAGCCCGATAGTGTGTTTGCATGTAGTTTGTCGACGTTGGAACCACCACGATAGCCCCAACCAACAACGCTTATACTCCCAGAGTCTCTCACTTGCCAAGTACACCACATGGTTTTATTTACTAAGTTAGGCTCAATTAATGTTCGGTATTGCAGTGTGAAAAAAAAGTCTGGCTGAGGTTACCTATCCTTCCGTCTCTGACGTGATGTAGTGTCTGAGTTGTCTGAATTGTGAGACAAGATAAGCTGATGACTGATGAGGATATCTCGTGAGGCTCTTCTCTAGGATGCGACGTGGCTACCGAGCATACAAAGAAGGCTCACCGCTCGCATGTTTCGCGTTGGCCAACGCCCAGCCAAGCCACGGCGGAGTCTGACATGCAACACATGGTAAACCGTTGACGAGTTGTGACGGCTAGATGAATCTCACCCTACATCATGATCTCACTAGCGCCCCGATACAACGTGGTTGGGATTGTGCTTGCCGTCTTGCAGGAGCTGAAAGATAACCGAGATGTAGTGGGATGCTTAATCCTCGCAATAAGGATTCCTTGATTGGCAACATCATTGTCTGACATCTCGCATCCAACAAGAATTCATCTCGGGCAACTTCCCTTTAGAGACGACGCCTCACGACGCCCCGTTGCAACCTCGTTGTCTCAGCCCCAGTCCGTTCCGTGCCGCTTCGGCAGACTTGTTTGCTGCACAAACATCACCCACCTCTAGGCTTCCTTCGACGATCACGACACTTTAAAAAGGAAACGATGCCTCGGCCTTCAAATCATGGTTCTTTTCAGGTAAGACTGTAGTCCCGGAGCCTCAAAGCCTGAAACTCTCAGTCCCATCACTTGAAGCCATGTTGCCACACATCCCAAACCACCTCATCCTCTTAACCGCGTTCCTCGCATTCCTCACCCAAGCCCAAGACTCCTCCTACAAACCAACATGCAAATCCTACCCGGGCACCGCTGACTGGCCCTCCGCAGCAGAATGGGCCCGCCTCGGCGAGTCCCTTGGAGGCGGCGACGGCGGCGGAGGGGGACGACTTCTCCGCCCGTCTCCTCCGGGAGCTGTCTGCCATCCCGGACAGGACGCCTACAACGAGATCGCCTGCGCCGACGTCGAGGCTCGGTGGAACTCGTACGAGCTCCACGTCGACGACCCTGTCTCCGTCGTCTGGAGCAACTTCGCTAATGACTCCTGCCTTCCTGACCCGGCTTATCTGTGCAGCGGTGACGGATACCCTGCGTACGTCGTGAATGCTACCGAGCCGGAGCATGTCAAGATTGGTATCGATTTTGGTTTGTTGCCTTCCTCTTTTAGCTGTCGGCGTCCCGTGTGTTCCTGGTGTTTGGGTATTGACTGGGGTTATAGCGAGGAAGAATCATGTGAGGCTTATTGTGAAAAGCACCGGGCATGATTACCTGGGCAGATCGATCGCCCCTGGCTCGCTCTCCATCTGGGTGCATCATATGACGGGCATCGAGTACCATGCGGATGAGTTCAAGCTCGCGGGAAGCGATATCACTATCCCGGGAGGCGCAGTAACTGCTGGAGGCGGAACCGAGATGTATGACCTTTACAAAGCCACTGCCGAACATGGCCAGGCCATTGTTGGGGGTACCGCTAAGACGGTGAGCGTCGGGGGTTATGCTACCGGAGGTGGCCACTCGCTGCTTGCGCCGCGTTTCGGGTTGGCCGCGGATAATGTCTTGCAGATGGAAGTCGTCACGCCCCTTGGCGAGATCTTGACTCTCAACGAGGCTCAGAACGCCGATCTGTTCTGGGCTATGCGCGGTGTAAGTGCGCCTCACTTTTGAGAATTTACCTCTAGTACTGACTTCAATAGGGAGGAGGATCGACGTTTGGTGTTCTCACCTCAATCACCTTCGCAACACACCTGTCGCCCCCAATCACCCACACAGCATGGGCAATGCTCACAGAGCTCCGGTCCCCCATTATCCCAGACCTCGCCGCCTACTTCCTCTCAAACGTCCCTTCCCTCGAGAAGGCGGGCCTCGCAGGCTACGCCTTGATCAACTCGCACATGCCGAACCCCGTCAGCTCTCCGGGCCTCCCACCGAACGCGGCTGGCGTCATTGGCATATCCCTGATGCAGGATGACACGGACCGGGAAGAAGTCAATAGGATCTGGACGTCAATCAACCAGACCGTCATGGAACGCTGGCCCAATGTCACCTTTGCCAAGATTACTACCGAGTACCCGTCCTGGGTCGACTTTTATGACAAGAACTATGATATGAATAAGGGGGGCATCAATAAGCTGCTGGCCTCCCGTTTGCTGGATGAGAAGGCTTTGACGGGAGATCTGGATGCTCTTGCCAGCGCGGTGAAGACGGCTGCTGATAACGTGGGCGGCATGTATGCGTTTTTGGTATCTGGCAAGGGAGTACATAACGCGAAGCCTAGGGGCGGGGATGATGCAGTTCACCCGGCATGGAGAACTGCCTACATCCATGCGAGTAAGTCATATTCATTCATCTAAGAGAAGTCACCCGAGTTGATCATATTTCTTTGCAGTAACTGCCGTTGGATGGACTTCGTTCAATGAGACGTCAAAGAGTGAAGCCGAGAAGAGCATTTACGACTCGGTCGAAGGCTTCCGGCAGTTGACTCCCGGTGGAGGATCCTACTTGAATGAGGTAAGTCTGGCATGGCGTTCCAAACGAATAGTTTTGAAACCCCTGTTAACATGTCACAGGGTCTATCATACGAGGAAGACTGGCAACATACCTTTTGGGGCACTAACTATGAGCGCCTTCTCAGGATCAAGAAGACCGTCGATCCAGACGACGTTTTCTGGTGCCAACCCTGTGTCGGAAACGAGGGATGGAAGCAGAAAAGTGACGGACAGCTTTGCAGAGTCTAGGCTGGTACACTGAGAGGCTGTATCTGTCGTAACATTGCCTTTCCAAAGCTAGAAGTAAGACTGGGTTATATCACTCAAAGTGAATCATCTCAATCGGTGTTGTGGAAATGGCAATGAGATCAAATTAGAATTCGGATTAAGGTCTACTTGGGCTCTAAAGCCGTGCCTCATGACTTCCTAGTCGGGTTCATAGCCTTCACCCAAGGCTTCCAGATATCCTCAATAGTCTCGGGAGAGTTCCAACCGTTCCACTCATAGTTGGATAGACCCCACGTATCGGGCACACCCTGCGCGCCAGAGCGCACACGGTAGCTACCGGCAAGACCCCAGACCATCCAGCTGACGTTGTGCTTGACGGTGTAGTCCCTCAGACACACCTGCAGGGTATCGTTGCGGAGCGTATCGTCCTGGCCATTGCCAAATTCGGAGAAAATGACGGGCGTCAACCGGCTCGCCTTGGGGCAGTCATTCGTAACATTGCAAGCCGCGGGTTTGTCAATGCCCAACGCGTTAAAGCCGTTGCGGTAGAGACCCGCCTCAATAATGGGGCACGATCCTGTGTCGACATCCTCGCTCATCTTGTACAAGTGCAGCTCCCAGACGAGCTTGTCCGCCCAGGCGTGGCTGTCGAGGTCAAACACCTTGGGCTCGCGGCGGGCTGCGTCGCGGATGGCGGTGCACTTATAGCACGGCGCCGTCAGGTAGTTCTTGCCCGAGGTGAGAGCGGACAGGTCCTGGCCGTACTGCATGCCGCCCCAGAGGATGAGGACGTCCGGGTTGGCCTCGTGGATGGCGTCGGCGCCGGCGGAGAAGTTGCCGACGAGCGTGTCCCAGTTGTAATACAGGTTCGTCACGTTCCACGACTCGCGGACCTCGTTGCGGAGGGAGAGGGAGACGATGTTGGGGTGGGACTTTGCCCAGTTGGCGACGTAGGAGAGGCCGCGGCGCCAGTGGGTCGTGTTGAAGTTGACGTCGTCGAACCAGGCGTTGCCGTCCGTGTGGGAGCAGCACCACTGGGCCTTGCCGACGTGCACGTCGGGGGAGATGAAGATGCCGCGCTCGTAGGCGGCCTCGACGATGGCGGACCAGATTTCGAAGCGGGTCGTCTCGCGGGTCCAGGTCGGGTTGTTGCGAATGATTTCGTTGGTGACCTTTGTGCCGTTGACGAAGCCTAGGGCCGTGATCATGGCAACCTCGAGGGGAACGTCCTCGCCGGCGCGGTCGTAGATTTGGTCAACCATCTCGATGGCATAGCCCCTGAGAAGAGTGTGAGCTGAGGTTGATTCGAGGTGTGCGATGGAGTACACGCGTGTGAGCTCGAAGGGGACTTACATGCGGATGTAGTTGAAGCCGACGCTCTCGACATCGTCGAGAATTTGATCAACCGAGGCCCATTCCAGGCCCTCAGGAACCATAGTCTCTCCTTCATGGCTTGTTAGTCAGGTGCTCTTGCGAAGCCTATACTAAATGTTGAACGTACCACTCATCGGCCAGTTGACACCAGCCCAAGTCACGACCTCACCGCGGGCGTTGACGATATCACGTCCGCGCGTGCTGAAGGGAGCGTAGGGCCATGAATTGCCAGTCTGGTTGCCGGCCTGTCTCGGGACGGCCTTGTGAGAGACATAACGAGGCGAGGCGGGAGTCTTCATGTACTGCGCGCATGTCGACGACACAAGCGCCGCAAAGGCGATGGCAAGACCCTTCATTGCGGAAACAGAGACTCACGTAAAGACCAACGTGAGAAGCAAAGCTGCAATGGGAAAGAAGAAGGTTACACTGGCGAAGAAGAGGAGGAGGAAGGTCCCTCTCTTAAAAGGACGTAACATTCATCGGAGATGCTGGCTGGGTACATCTATGGATGGCCCGGAAGTTGGAGCCATTGGGCAATGGCTTTGTTCGGCTCCGCATCCCCCGCACCGTTATTTTCCTCGTGTTTAATGAGCATCGTCATTCGACCCCGATCCGATCATGGACCAACAACGGCTTCCAAGCTACGTTTGGGTTGGTGCTGGGCGAAGGGGCGGTGGGCTTTTTACCGAAGCTATTTCAACCAAGGTTTGGGGCCGGTCAAGGCCAGGATTCCCCCCATGGAAATATCTTCCCCGAGGTGCTCCTGGTGACGGCATTGGGCCGCTTGAACTGGTGGAGTCCTGGAGAAAGCTCCTAGCATGGGTTTACCCCGCATTCGATCATGGGGGACGGTGGAGATGGGAAAGAAGAAAACAACTTAGATTCTCAAAGACCTTGAGAAGAGACTCTGCTTTGTTTTTTGCCGGTAAACGGTGCCCCGGGGTGCGGGGGATGCTGTTCGGAGCCGGGCCGAAAATGGTGGTCTGCAGAGACTAGATGATGTCGTCTGATCTCACACCTTATGTCCAGGAACCAAGCACAAGGCAATCATGTCCACCTGCCTTGCGTACTTCTACCATTTTGAATCACTTGGTAATAATACTCCGTGGATCTCTGCGTAGTCAAGTACTCAAAAATGTGTCATGAGCCTGAGGCTGAAGGTTGAACGACGTGTTGCCATTGCATCTGAGTTTCGCTTGTATTTGAGATCCGGCTACTGAACCCGAAAATGACAGCCAAACTTTCTAGGTATCTCACGAAAGAAATTGACGTGAGTCACTCATTCAGAATAGGGAAACTTTGTGTATTCTGTATTTACGAGATGCTTGGCCCTCGGCTCATCCCTCGAATGAAAAGGAAACACAAGTTTGCCTTGTGTGCGAGACAAGGCAACCTACCTTGCCACGCAACGCCGCCTGGGATATCTTGACTGGTTTTAGTAATTGCGTAGCTTGCATCAGTCAAGTGGCTGGTGGTAGGCGATGTGACGCAAGGGGGCGATGGAGGTGAACACTGAAATGGCGAGATCTCGAAGCCTAAGACCTCGAAGCCTGAGACCTCAACATTCGTAAGTACGCACGGCAGGCCAGCCTGATGGACGAATTCATACTGGCAAACGGCCAAGATGAGGCAGTTATAAGGCTGCAGTCCTTGCTGATATATCCTATCATCTATTGTCATCACTTACACAGCGCTTTAATGCAAAGAAAAAATGTCGACAATTCATATTCCCTCTCGAGATGGTCCGGCGGAAGATCTTCCAGTACCGCAGGCACATCCAGTCGAAGTTTCACCCAACTCTTCCTGCCAAATCTCTTCCCCTTCACAAGATACAATCGTAACCCCCAGCCACGGGCAATCTCCCGAGCCCGGACAGGAGCCAAGAGAAGAGACTCCTCTATACAGTCTAGTAGCCAACTCGGAGTCAAGGTCAACTCAAGACACCACGCCAGCCTTGAAGGACACATGCGCCAAGCCGAAACCCATCGATGAATGGACTAACCGACTCCTCCCGTCTGGCGAATATCACTGGACACTAGAACTGTGGTCAATTGTTCTCAGTATCGTATCTTTTGCCGCAATCCTCATCCTTCTTCCCCTCTACGAAGATAAGCCTTTGTCATCCTGGACCTTTTCGATATCTCTCGACACTGTCATATCCACTCTCGGAGCAACGTCCCGAGCTTCATTAGGCTTCGCCATTAGTGCTTGTATCAGCCAGGGAAAGTGGAACTGGTACCGGAAAAGAGATGACCATGTGATGGTCTTTGACCGTTTCGAAGAAGCTAGCCGCGGACCCTGGGGGAGTGTTCGCTTGTTGTGGTGGACCAGGCTTAGGTACGAATGATGCTACTTTGTAACGTGATTCTTATCTCATGGAATTCTTTAGACATTGGATCGCTATTGGAGCCTTCTCGGCAGTCATATTAGTAGGTTTCGAGCCATTCCTGCAAGCTATCATCAGCTTCTCGGGAGAAGACATCAGCTATATAAATCCATCAGTGACAAGCGCGATTGGAAAAGCTGAAAGGCTGGACGCAGGAGTCTTTGCGGCATTTGACCGATGGACTCCAAAAGACTATGAAATGCCTAAGCCTTGGGGTAACTTTACTATGACTTCCATGAGATCTGAAAACGACTTTGGTGCAATGGCGGCGGTGCTGGGAGGCTTTTCCGAACTCAGCTCAACCGAGAGTACAAAACCCGACTTCGAGTGCTCAACTGGCAATTGTACCTGGGACCCTTTCGCATCGCTCGCTGTATGTAGTACTTGCAAAGACATATCACCTGCGATGGAGAAGTCCAACGGACGAGCAAAGATAAACGATGAACTTATTACACTGCCAGATCGCCTGGATTTCCCCGACAAGAAACTCCGCACTTATACCAGGTTCGAGATTCCATCCTTGGATCTGAGTATATCAAACTTCAATGGGATCAAAGCTAATGGGAATGAAATTGACATTGGCTTCGGAAACGCCGAAGTCACTGCGCGGTCGAATTACAACCCGGGGCGGACATTGTCGTTTGGGCATCTTGAGTCTATGATCTTTTCCGTCGCTGTCATGTCGGCCAGTCAGGACTATCGCAAGCGGAAACAAGCTTGGGAAGACACGGATATCACCGCGACAGAATGCGCCCTGCATTTCTGCACCAACGTCTACCAGTCCGTCGTCGAACAAAATATGCTCATGGAGAAGGTCCTCAGTTCCCGCTCAACAAGAAACCCGGACTCTTTCTTATCAAATTGGTTGACGAACAACTTGGCTGCGACAAAATATTTCAACACGTTTATAAACCATTCACTCTACATCGGCTTCTCTGATGCACCCCGTTCAGATCTACAGCTTGTCATTTCCAAGGAGGAATATTACGCCGACACTGGCCTGAAAATAGATGACGATTTGCGGTTCAACATCTCACACAACACTGTCGGAAGCCTCATAGACTGGCTGGCAGTGAGGTTATCGGGTCACAGCGACTCCGCGTCTTTGGACAAGCCAGGAATGCCAACACTGCTCAAATACCCTTTACCTCTTTGCATGCGCACCAGCAACACACCAACCGAGATCATCAGCAGCCTCGCAGCTTCGCAAAACATCTCATGAACATTCGAAATGGTTGCCGCGAGTCTGACAAAATGGATCCGAAATCGTTCACTACAGAGTGATCCGTATCCGGGGACAATGAAGGTATGGGAAATCAAGATCAGAGTGAACTGGGCATTCTTGTCACTCCCCATGGGCGCGCTGGTAGGCGGGTGTGTGTTCTGCTTATTGTCGATGTGGGAGACTAAAAGGCTAAGCCTTCCAGCATGGAGGGGAAGCTCATTGGCGACGCTGGCCCATGGCCTTGACGCGGAGTCGAGGACTTTCTTGAGAGAGGCGAGTGATAGTGCTCGTATCGCTTCCCAGGCGCGAACTTTGGAGGTTAAGTTTGTCGATTCTGAAGGCGGACCGGAGCTGGTTCGCGGGACCAAGACTGGCGGGCCTGCCCGTGATGCTGCTTGATGCGCGTGGGTAGAGGTACTGTGAATTGCGTAAGAGTTTCAAGGCCATCAGACAACTACCAGGAGGGCAACCGACCAATCCTCCCAAATCAACTACGCACATCTCAGCAATGCAAGACGTAGGAGTTGAGACAGATCTTGCACTAATCCATATACTCAACAATGCATTTTTTCTTTCATAAGAGACATGTTGTATATTCGCTTAAATCATGCAGCGCTTCTAATAGAAAGCATGCTCTCACTTAGTCAAGCTCTTCTCCGGATTCTTCTCATACCGGTTACACCACTTCCGCCACTCCTTCGCGGCCTTATGCATCACAACCCTCAAATCCTCCTTCACATCGTTCACCTCCCAAGCCTCATCTTCCCAGTTCTTCTGGCCGCGGGTCATGGTGGGGGACCAGCCAATTGCCTCTAGGCATTCCCTGTTCGTATGTGTCAGCTTTACTTTGGCCGATGGATTGAGATAGATGAATTGGATATGAACTTACACTTCCGTAGGCGAAGAGGTGTATCTGGGAAACAGTCTCGAGTCGACACGATGACACTCGGCCTCCAGGTACCGCGTCAACACGTCGATGCGGTTCGCCGGCTTGAAGCTCAGCTGGAGCTTGTCCTCCTTGGCCAGCTCGGCCTCTGACTTTTCCGGGTCGATGGACTCGGGCTTCTTGGACGTGGAGGCGATGCGCTTGGTGACGGAGCGCGCCGTCTTGGAGCCTTTGATGGTGAAGTATGCCCACACAGCTGTGAGACGTTAGTAAGTAGACCACAATAGGCATATATGCTGACTGAAGAAGAATATCTCACCGTTGACCTCAAACAACCCAGAGACAGCAATCATAACCAAGTCAATGGCCAGTGAAACAGGAAGCAGACCAGTCGCGATGATGGCGTCGCGCTGCGCCTTGGACTTTGTCCGCATCATGGAGTTGACGAATTCCTCCCTCATCGCCTCGGGCGTCATGTTCATCGAGGGGGAGTACACAAAGACAATCTCCTCGACGCCGACCGTCTTCTTCGTCTCATGAGAGGTGTGAGCTGGGTCGTCTTCCATGAGCTCGTCTTGCTCGTCCTTGTCGGCCTGCTGCTGCTGCTGCGACTTGAAGTAGTCCTCTTCTTCCCTGTCGCCCTTCTCCTCGGCCAATTTCTCGTTCCTCGCCCTCTCATCGAGATCCTTATCCTCGGAGGACTTCTTCTCATCATCGTGGAGGAGATGCTCCGCGTCCTCGTCCTTGGCGTCGGAGCTCTCACGCTTCTTCTCGTCGAGACTCTTCTTCGTCTCCTTCTCATCCCCCGAAGCGGCCTTGTCTTTCTTGTCCTTCTTCATCCTCCCCTTCAGTGAGAGTTTGCGCGATATTGCCGAAGGTGGCTTCGCCGGGGGTGTAACGCGCGCAAGGTAATCCAAGTTGCTCGTGGTGGTGTACTGCATAGCCTTATCCACCCCACGCGTACACTTGGCCTTGAAGCCCGCCCAGCTGGTCGTCTTTGCGTCGCTCATCTTGGCCTGCCGCACCTCCGTCTGCCACTTCCGCTGCACCTTGTGAGTGACGCCCTCCTTCACGCCCTCGGGCGGCGCCTGGAGCGGCGGAGGTGGGGGCGTGTAGATGAGGAAGCGGGTGGGGATGGCATCGGACGGCGCCTTGGAGCCCAACCAGGGTTTGGGAAAGGGGACGAGGTAGGTGATGAGTTTGTGAGGGTCTCTGCTGTAGTGGATTGGGTTTGAAGGGTCGTCGTTGCCAAAGTCGGAGCCTTGGCGCTTGGGAGGCGGCATGATGCCTTCTATGGAGGGTGTTCTTGAGAACGGCGGCGGTTCCTGGCTCTGGGAAAGGAGTTCTGCGACGGCTTTGGGGTGAGGGCGAGCTGGTAAGGGGGGCGGGGGTCCGTTTTCTTCTTCTTCCTGAAGACGCTCCGCGAGGGCGCGGTCCTGGTCTTCGGGCGATGAGAAGGGGTTGGAGGAGAGCGGCCCGTTGGTGTTCCATGCTGGCTGGGTGTGTCGTTGTGGAAGGGGTGGTGACTGGCCTTCTTCCTCTTCCTGAAGTGCCAAGGCCATTGCGTAGTCACGATCTTCTTGCTCCTGGGCTGCTGGATCTCTACCGTAACCGCCGTGCTCTTGAGCATAGAAGTCGGGGACTTCTGATGCCGGCCTTGGATTCGGTACCGGGGGCCGGTCTTCAAAATCCGGAAGCGCTTCTGCGGCCTTGCCCTTGTCGATCGATGAACGGCGCTCATTGGCATTTGAGCGCTCTGTGTTTTGATACAGCACCGCAGGCTCCGGATGCGTCTCAGCGGCTTTGCCCTTGTCATATGAAGAAGGGTACTCATTCTGAGGGGAATATGTCGCATCGTAATACCGTTCAGCCTCCGTAGTATCAACTGAATCAGCATGAGAGAATCCCGTGTCGTGATGTAATACAGCGGGCTCGGTCATGGGCGACACATGATAATCCTCATCCACCTTCGTTTGAGTCGGCGAGTCAAAAGTAGACGCCGTGTGCTGAGCTGAGACCTTGGACTGCGTAGGCGGTGTTGCTGGTCTATATGTGTTGGGCGGATCGTAAATGTTATCTTCCTCCTCAACCTCCGGAAGCGCGCCCGCCGCCGCCGCCGCTTGCCTCTCGGCATCCCTATCCCGCCAAGAAAGATTGGAGCGCACGCTGTTTGAACGAAGGGTAGAGGGCGTGGCCGGAATGATGTTGACAGCCGGAACCCCGCTCCTTGGTTCGACGGGTGAGTCGTCTTGGGCGTTATCATACCATCGAGGCTGAGGTTGCTGCTGTTGCTGCCGCCCAGACTGAGGCTGGCCTTGGCCCGATGGCGATGAGGAAAAGAAGAGCTCTTGCTCCGCAATGGAGCTCGTCGTGTGACGCTCCCGTTCCTGTGTGGTGTCCATCTTTGGGCGAAGACGATGTTTCTCTTGGCGATGCAAATGCAACGTGTTTCAGAGAAGATCTTTCCAAGTTTTCGAGAAATCTTAGAGGTTCACACAAGCATGAAGAGAGAAGGAAGAGAGTTCTTTGGGTTCACTTTTTGACAAAATAGGCGCGCATCACTGATCTGTCTCCGAACCTTAATATTGCGCCTCCCCATGAAGAAGGCGAACACACTTTCCAATCTTTCAACGGTCTGGCTGGGAACGCGCAACACGAGCTGCGGCGTGGGCGAGGAAGGGGGCGGATGACGTGTATTCAGATATTGAGGGTGTGGCGCAGTGCCATGGATTGTGGCACTGGCCCAGCAATTGGACTTTTGTTCTCAGGCATTCAAGGCGATGGATCATGGCCGATTAAACGAGCTTACCTTGAACGAACAAGGATCCAAGCAGCGGATAGTGTGGCTAGAGAGAAGGCGTTTCATAGCAGAGAGGGGGCGATGCGTTGTTCATTGTTTGTTGGGTAAGGCATAGTGATGTGATCCTGGCCTCACTTGGATCTCGGGGCGGCCTATTCTCAAGAGATGAGAAACCGTCACGTGATGGTTTATCGAATTGATACGACGGGCATTCCGTTTGAAGTTCTTGTCGTTCGTGAAAACTCCCAAGAAAACTTGCCAGTTCGAACTTGGTGATGTCGTTTCCCGATCACCCGGAACTCCAAGTCCCGAAGCTGCTACTATGGTGAGAATGAGTGTATATATAGCGACTTTGTTCACCAGAGAGCGCAGCCAAGGTCTTGGTGGGTTTCGAGTGGGTTGCGATACGACGGCTGGGCTAGGTGGAAACGCGGGCGAAGCCAGAAACCCCGTGGGGATGTGGCGTGAATTAACGAAATAGTCCAATCGCTCAAGATGTTCAGAGTTGCGATGGAAGATGGTGAGGCCTCACGATGAATGTCGACAAGAGCGTTGTGGGAGATGTGAAGAAAGGCCGGCGCCTATCATAACACCACCTTTGATCCCCGGGTGGTGAGCGTCCAAAGTCTGTAAATAGACCGACTGCTAGACGAAGGCAATATGTTTGAATAGCCAAGACAACCCGTAATTTCCCTCCGATATTCTCCGTGTCGATCATCGAACAGGTTTCGCAACTCTGGATGCCGTTCGGAGTCAACGATGTGGGAGGCCCTTACTTAGTACGAGGCTCCGTCCCGTTCGTCTGCCTTCCGCGTATAGGAACCACCAAATATAGCAGTTCATTTCATCAAGGTGAGAACTCGCCGTGTCAGTCAGTACCTTATTACCTTCCGTACGAACACGCCATTCATCAAGCGACTGATTAGCGGTGGCGGTCATGGTCTCGACATCGGCCGTGGCTAAAGACCGACGTTCAGCGCAGGAAAAGGCCCAAACCAAAGAAAGCCTCCAACTCGAGGCGACAGCCAGCGTCCTGCGTGCGAAGGGTCGATCCTTGCTGAGGCCCACGGAACGTGTTTAAGCTTTCTCGAAAGAGTTACCGACGCTGCCGTGATAGCCGTGCGCTCGGTCAACCGAAGTCCAGCATACCTCTTCTACGGTAGGCGATAGATGGGATCGCTGCGGTGCATTGTGTTACGGCACGATAGGCAGGGTGGCCGCGGATGCAGGTTTGGTCGGCCGCGGCAGTGTTGAATTCAAGACAAAATAGTTGCAGGCGGGTGCGGCGCGGTGCGATGCATGTCTGTCAGGGGAGTTTCTGGGAATTGCACCAAAAAGATAGCTGAGTCATCCTTGGATTTCTTCGGCTTAGGTAAGGCAGCACGGTCCACTATCTCCTCGCACCAGGGAGCGCCCGACCGGGCCCTCTCCGGTCATCTCCACCCGGGGCTTCGATCCGCGAATAACTTCAATCCCCAGCATCGTTTTCCATTTTGGAAACCTGTCAGTGCTTGTCTCAAGCACCTCAAGCACCTCGACTCGCTCCGGTCTCTCCCGTTATGTTCCATTACAAGTGGCTCTCTTCTTACGGATTTAGATAAGGAAGTTCCTATTCTCCAAGTTCTAAGAAACAGAACCTATGGTCGCTGCCAACGCCGTCGGTCTGACTTGGCACTACCTTTATGAGGATCTCTAATAAGTCAGTGCTGCTTAACCTAATCTCTCTGCATCTATCTCTGTCAGTCTTCTCGAAAATGCGACTCTACCGATAGCACGCCTCGCCCTTCCTGAAAATAACTTTCCCTCCGTCTGAGAAAAGGGCCCCCACTGCGCATGGATGCGTTTCCGCCTGTTGCTCTGAGGCATGTTTCACCGTCATCCCGCCGCTTCTACTCGTCGATCTCCCGCACAGCACCTTTCCCTTACCGCCGCACTGCTGTCCCAGAACGAATGAGAAGAAGAGAATCCACCACCACTTCCCGTCAACCTTTACGCAGCAGGCACCGTAGTAGGGAAAAATGGATGGTCAGGATGTGTTCAAACGGCTCTTGATTCGCCCACTACGTTTTGGCCCCTCTCTTCTCTCACGGTGCAGGAGCCTCTCAGTGTATCTCCTCTCCCATGTTTCCCTGGTATCGTGAAAAGGTATGTAGTAAGGCTGATGGGTCCGCCATGCTTCGGGACGGCCGCGCGCCGGGAGACAAGTGTCAAGCTTGCTTCCCGCGGGTCATCCCACGACGAAAGGGCTCCACGCGTCCTGCACAGATAACGGGTCGTTACGAGGGCCAGGAAAGAAATCTAAAGTTGCATCAGGAGACAAAACATAGCCGGGCCCTGAAGAGACCCACCTCCGGTGCTTATTTTGGTAGTCGTATTGCAATGCTGTATCCGTAGATGGCAGGCCGAAGGTTCTATCCTATGTGGTGGTGAACCGTCTGACCTTGGCAGAAAAGTGTCAAGACATGCCTCCCCCGCCTCTCGGACCCGGAAGGTTGGGTTGAGACTTGTCAGTATAAGTATTACTAGTCGGCTCGTTCCCGTGGATCGTCGTCCTGGCTCGAACCTAAAATCCAAGTCTCACCTTTCCTTTCTTTTCTTCAACACCACCGGGCTGGCTTCCCGTTTTGCTTCGCCCGCTCCCGCACAATGCAGCCGACGAGCTTTCTCACGCTCGCCTTTGCTGCACTGGCGGCAGCGGCTCCACCTCTCATGGATGTGCTCAAGAGCAACAATGATACCTTGAGTACTCTGACCTGTATGATCTTCCATGGAATAGGCCGTGTATGGACAAGAGAGCGTGACTACTAACACCACCAAATAGCACTCCTGGCGATGGTCCCAGCCCTGAACCAGACCCTCGTTAAAGCCAAGGACGTCACCATCCTCGCCCCTTCCAACGATGCCTTTGCCAAGATGATGCAGATGGACCCTACGTTTGCCCAAAAGGCGACCAACGCTACCTTCCTCGCCGATCTCCTCAGCTACCACGTCGTGAGCGGCAAGACCACGGCCACCATGTTCTACGAACAGCCCAAATTCGCCCAGACCCTCCTCGAGATGCCCACCGCCAACGTCACGGGCAACCAAAAGGTCGAGCTTGTCAGGAAGGGTGACCAGGGCAGGGTATTCAGCGGCTACAAGCAGATGAGCGTCATCACAAAGGCCGACGTCGCCTTCCAGAACGGCGTGCTGCACGTCATCGATACCGTCTTGACGTTCCCCGGATCCCCCGCCGACACGGCTATGAATACGGGCCTCACGAGCATGGCGGGCGCGTTGGTCAAAGCTGGGCTGGTCGATGGTGTCAACTCTTTGCAGGCTGCGACTGTCTTTGCGCCGACGAATGCTGCGTTCCAGGCTATTGGGGCTACGGTTGCGTCGATGGAGCCTGCGGATCTTGCTAGGATTCTACAGTATCATGTCCTCATGAATCAGGTACGGTTCACTACGGGCGTGGCGACAAAGATGGGATACAAGAGTTTGATGGGCGAGAAGGTTTCGCTGCGGAAGGAGGATACCACCGTCTTTGCCAACTCTGCCAAGGTTACCATCAAGGATATCATTACCAGCGACGGTGTTATGCACGTCATTGAAAGGTAAGCATTTCTCATTCTGTTCCCAGATCACAGCATTTCAAGTTTACTTACACAAAAACAGTGTCCTCAACCCAGCATCACCCAAGTTGAGCCCGGGAACCTCGACGGCTGCCTTTCCCGGAGCAGTTCAAGCAGCCAATGCCCCCTTCACCGACGGAGTCAAGCCTACTGCCAATTTCACTCCGGCCGGGGCGAGTTCGAGAAGCTTTGGTGTCTCCCTTAAGTCTGCTGCGCTGGCGTTCTTGGGCTGTCTGGCTGTTGCGTACTTGTAAGTAGAGGGGACGTAGTGTCTCACAACAACTTTCATTCTTTGAAGCTCTGGTGAGCAGACATTCTACTGGAGAAAAAGAACCGTTTTTTTCTCACATAATTAAGTTTAATTGAAGTGGTACAATGCTATGACTGATGCCGCCCTCGCCTTCAATATGACTTCTGTGTGTGGTTCCTAGGTACATTTGACACCGCCTCCCCCGTGCCTCAATAATGGCAACCAATCAATGACTTCCGCGAATTGATCGAGTGGGATTGTATGCACGAAAAAGGGTCGGATTGAAAGATATTTTCCCGTTCCCTTAAACTGGATGTGGCTGCCTGATTGCATGCGTTGCAGCGTCGAATAGAAAGCACGCCTGGTTGTGAGGTGCCTGGCCTTACCTGCACATGCCTCACACCAATGTTGTTCAGCCTGATTCCAACTTCATCGTATTTCTGCCTACATATAGGAAACCTTTGCATCACGACGTCTTCGTTCTATGCCGAAGAACAACCCCCCTGAAACGCTCCACAAACTTTTACTGACCATCAAAAACGCCTCCAAATGTGGCTCATCAACACCCAGACGCACAAACTTGAAGAGTTTACCGGCAGACAGATTCCGCCATACGCAATCCTCTCGCACACATGGGGAAAAGAGGAAGTGTCCTTCCAAGACATGAAGGCCCCGATGTTCTCAATTTGGCAACGGGCCACCAGCAGAGCCGGCTTCGTCAAGATCCTAAACACCTGCAGACTAGCTCACCAGCACAAGCTACAGTACGCCTGGGTCGACACATGCTGCATCGACAAGTCGAGCAGTGCTGAGCTCACTGAGGCCATCAACTCGATGTTCAAGTGGTACCGGCGCGCGGACATCTGCTATGCCTGGTTATCTGACCTTGATCCCTCCGCCGATATTGTCAGCGACTTCGACGGTAGCGGAGACCTGGGCAAATGCCGCTGGTTCACGCGGGGTTGGACCCTCCAAGAGCTCATCGCGCCTAGGGAAGTCGAGTTCTACGACCGAGACTGGACCCTCGTCGGCCGCAAAAGTGAGCTTGTTCGCCAGCTCTACGCTGTGACGGCTATCGCCATTGACGTCCTCCGTGGCGACGAGGGCGCTTTGTGGCGCACTTGCGTCGCCGAAAAGATGTCCTGGGCCGCGGGACGGGAGACCACCCGTGTCGAGGACGCCGCATATTGTCTCATGGGCATCTTCGGCATCAATATGCCTCTCTTTTATGGTGAAGAGGAAAGGGCATTTCGAAGGCTTCAAAACGAGATTATGCGCGAGAGCGACGATGTGACGATCCTTGCATGGGAGAGAGCCCTACATATACCACCGCCACACCAGTCCTTCCGTGACGGCGAGCGGATTCTCGGTGGTGTGCTCGCCGAATCCGCAGACGACTTTGCCGTCCACCGTCATCAAGGAAAGTTCTATCCGCCGCTTGTCAGGCCACCGCCGCTTCATGTCATGAAGAATTGTGTCAAAATCGACACCGAGCTCGTCTGGGAAGTGTCTTGGAACAGCGGCCGCCAGTACTACCTATGTTGCGGCTCTCGTGGCGAAGAAAACGTTGCTATCCGTCTCGTCAAAGTTGTGGGCGGCTTTTTTGTCCGGGAGAACCTCAATGATTGTGTCACGACTTGTCTTGCTGCCGCGAACTACCACAACCGCCGGGAATTCAGCATGCTCGTCAATGTCTTCGATTATCCAGTTTACCCTCTCAGTGCCGGGAAATGGGACCTAGTCTCAGTGAGGTTCTCATGCCCCATTGATGTGAAAATAGTAGAGGCCTTGCCATGGTCGAAATGGCACGACGAGAAAATGGAATTCGTAGCATACCCCACAAAAGTTTGCGGGTCGATTCTCCTCAATGTTTACCACAAAGTTTATTCTATGGACCCCCTAGAGATCCCTCCCAGCACGGAAATCGTTCTCTTTTTTAGGCCTTACGCGGCTCGCAATGGAGAATTGAAAGGAACCCTCCTTGAGCGCTACGGTGAATTTCAGGCGAAAGTGGACCACGTCAATTCTTTCTTGAAATCCGAGGAGCCCAATGTTGTTGTCTTTGACAGACTTCTCACGCGAATAGGCTTGCCCATGTCCAACAGGGTTATGTTTGACGTGGGAACACCAAATCGGTCGGCAGTATTGTCGTACACCGTGAAGAAGTGTGCTGGAAGCTGGGAGAGCTGGGAAGTCGTGTTCGAGATGGACGAGCTTGAGACGGCTAGTATTTCCCCCGTAGAGTATCAGAAGTGGTAATTAGCTGTATGAGATTCTGAAGAGAGGCCAAAAAGTCATGATCTATACTACTGATGGATAAACATATCAGATATGGAAGATGGCTAGTATAGTATAAGCGGTGTATCAAGCATGCTCATCACGACATACCTAGGAGCATGCTTGAAACGGGGGTGCAGTATGCTGATTTCCGTCACCTTCAACCCTCCCGCTCTCCCACTGCCGTGGGAGATGCCCTCAAGAGAATATATATCGATGGTGATTTTCACTTGCAAGTTCTCAAACCGAAAACCCACTTCTCCGAAGGATGCTTCGTGATACCCTGAAGTTCTAGGCTTCTTTTAGTGAGTTTCAATATTACATCCAACCGCCTCGCGTGCCGGATAATCAGATAAGGGGCTTAAGCATCAAGGTACGTTCGAGCTGCCTAGTCTCTGCCTTTATGATGGAAATCCTATTATCAAGAGCTTCGATAACAAATCCCCGGGCTGTCCATACCAGGCAATGGAGAAGAATCAGGCTGTTCTGCTGCTGGCTTCGTCTTCGGCCGTTCCGGGGTCATCAACGGACTGGTAATGCCTGCTTGTTTCGTAGTGCTATGTGGAGGTACCAGCTTCTCAGGCCTTCTCACAAGTACGCCTTTCCGTTGTCTTCTAGGTAATAGACTCCAAGTATTTATGACTGAATACACCAAAACTGAGTGGAGAGTACCTATAGAACAGCGACGATGTGCTATATCTCCAAAATTCCCACTAACGTTGGATGAATTCGTCTTCGACATGGATACGAAGCAGCAGCAGCACGCCAGCCTGCATCGCGCAGATGCACCACGATCTTCAAAGAGGATCTGCAGCGAGGCAAGGTAGACATCGGTTGTCTCCTGGGCACTGTCCTGCTACACCCCAAAGGGCAACCTTTATATCAAGATGCCGCTGCCCTTCGCCCTAGCCATACCCCCGCTCACCATCGCCTCCGGCGCGCGAGTGCTTTGCGTTGGATACCGAGGCGCTTCTTATGCACCCGCCTCGAAATCTACAAGGTATGCGTTCAGGGAGCGGCTGTTATTGCTACACGCCTGCAGGAAGTACGTTCAATCTTCTCCCCGAAGCCAAGCTAAGCTCTACATCACAAGATTGCGACTCAAAGGGTCCCTAAAGCGGTGAAGAATGCGCCACGACACGTATACAACGAGTGTACCTTGCAGTACAACTCGAACAGTGACAAGGATAGGTACCTATGCTGGCCAGGCACGCCTTGACATACCTCAGCTCAGCTCATTGACGTCACGACACTTCTTCAAGCAATGCTTTTAAATCTGTATAATTACCTCTTGTTTGACTCGTAACCCGGTATATACATGCATACAACAACCCACGTCATGAAAGACGGTCCCCAACGGAACGATTGCCCCGCGCCCGGGGTCCCCTGAAGAAGCAGGATGATAAAAAGAGAGAAGTCTGAGTGCCCCTGATTGTGAGGTATCCAAAGAGGGGCTTGTAGGTAGAGAGGGAAAAAAAAAAGACCACGCAGTTGAAAGACCAGAGGGAAACAGGATTTGGAAAAGAGAAGAAACTAAAATTGGAAGATGCTTTTTGAACCGGTTATGACTCCAGATAAGTTTGAGTGTCCGCGCCGAGCCTTTGTGAATCTAATCCGCTCCTTGAACATTGGACGCCTGTGCCCCTTACATGGTGGGAATACCTTCGTACTCGGCGTAGCCGAGGGCGAGGTTCATGTTCTCTGTAGAAGGGTATCAGTATACATATTTCTTTTCAGGGACCTGGATAAAGGGGTTGACTTACGCAGACATTGAGTTGCCGCGCCCTTGAGCAGGTTATCGATCGTAGCGCAAACGACGACGCGCTTGCCGCTGCTGTGGACAGCGAAACCACCAATCTCAACACCGTGCTTGTTCATAATGTTCTTGACCTGCGGTGAGTCGCCAATGACCTTGACGAGCTTCTCGCCGGCGTAGCGGTCCTGGTAGATCTGGCGGATGTCACGCGAGGTGATGGTCTTGTTGAGGGGGATGTGGATGGTGGCCTGGATACCGCGGAACCAGGAGGCGACGTGCGGGGAGAAGGCGACGTCGGTGCCGAGCTTGGCACTGATCTCGCGCTCGTGGATGTGGTCCGTCAAGCTGTAGGGCATGAGGTTATCCTTGAGCAGGTTGACGTCGTTCTTGGGGGAGGGCTTGGTGCCGGCGCCTGAGTAGCCAGAGATACCGAAGACGGAGGGGGAGCCGCCGAGGTGCTCGACGAGGGGCGCGATACCGAGCTGCGCGGCGGTAGCGTAGCAGCCGGGGTTGGAGATCTTGTCGGCCTTGTAGATCTCGGAGCGGCCGGTCAACTCGGGAAGACCGTAGGTCCAGGTGTTGTCGAAGCGGTAGTCGGCGGACAGGTCGACAATGACGCTGCGGTGGTCGGCACCGCCCTTGCGAGCGTCAGCGATGGCCTCAATGTAGGGCTTGCAGACACCGTTGGGGAGGGCCATGACCCAGCAGTCGATGGCGCCCTTCTTCTCGAGCTCGGTGACCTGGTCGGGGCTCAGGTTCTCGTAGGTGATCTCGCGCTTGGTGTAGCCCTCGAGCTTCTGGCCGGCGAGCTCACGGGATGAGACGTGTCTGAGGTCCATGTTGGGGTGGGCGTTGAGCATCTCAATGAGAGCCTGGCCGGTGTAACCACGGGCGCCGATGAGAGCGACGCGGGAGGGGACGTCGTTGGAGGCGTTCTTCTTTCCCAGAGGGGGGTTGGGGTTGGTGGTGGTGTAGGTGGCGAAGGTGCGCTTGCCGGAGAGGGTAGCGGCGGCCGGAGCCCATGTCGGGCGACGAGCCATCGTCGAGAAGCCACGGGCCTGGGCGGGGGTGGAAGACTGGTTGAGGTTGCGGCTCGAAGTCTGGGCGGCGCGGCGGAGGCGGGCCTCGAGGTTGGAGTCGCCGAGCATGGCTCTACCATGGGCGTTGAACTCATCGGTCAAGACGCCGAGCTCCTGGAGGTTGTCGATGCCGTACCAGAAGAGCTGGTTGCCCTTGCTGGAGAAGCTTCCGTCGGCCTTGTCGAAGAACCAGGTGAGGTTCTCATCCTCCTCGCTGACGGTCCAGACGAGCTTGGGGTGGTCCTTCTTGATAGCGTGGAACACGTTCTCGGTCACGTTGCTCAACCATCCCTCCTTGGTGACGGTGAGGGTGGCCAAGGTCGGGTGGGATCGGTTCTCGTTGGGGGGCAGGACGATGGCGAGGCAGTTCAAGGGCTCGTCGTAGTAGGCCTTGAAGGGAGTGCCCTTGAGGAAGTCGATGTAACGGTCGACGGTGGCCTCGGCGTCCATGCCCTCGCGGTCGCGGATAAGGGTCTGCTTGAGCTTGGCGAGGTCGGGGAACGATTCAATGCTGTCGGAAAAGGCGATCTTGTCGCCGCGGCGAATCAGGGTACCGGCACCGGAGTCGGTGAACAATTCCTTCTGCAGGTCGCTGGGGTGGATGATGGCAACGCTGGAGCTGCGGGGCAGGGTCTCCAGAAGCTCCTTGATCTCCTTGATCTTGAGGCGAGTGCCGTAGCGGCACCAGGACTGAGACATGAGGTGGTCGTACTCCTCGTCGAGGTTGATGTGGGAGATCTTGTCGCCAGTCTCACCGTTGAACAGACCGCCCTTCTCGGAGAGGTAGACAATCTTCAAGGGCTCCAACGCGCGGGCCAGCTCAGCCGCGGCGACATCGGCGTTGACGTTGAGGATCTGACCCTCGGTGGTCTCGGCCATGGAGGTGAGGATAGGGACGTAGCCCTGGGAGATGGCGAGCTCGACGGGCGCCTTGTCGACGCTGCTAATCTTGCCGACGAGGTTCCACTTCTCCTTGTCGAGGTAGTCGGCAGTGAGGACGGTGGTCAGAGGGCGGGTGCGGACGCCGAGGCTCTCGAGCTTCTCGACGAGCTTCATGTTCTCCTGGAGGAAGAGCTTGCGGGCGACGGTCAAGGTCTTGCCGTCGGTGACGCGGATACCCTCCTCGAACTGGGGCTCAACACCGGCCTCCTCGAGGAGACGGTTCAGCTGAGGGCCCGCGCCATGGACAATGACGGGGTACAGGCCGACTTCGTAGAGGAAGGCAATGTTCTCGCAGAGGTCATCAATGTAGTCGGTAAGAATGGCACCGCCGACCTTGATGACGGCGAACTTCTGGGAGGAGACGGAGGTGAAGTATGAGAGGTATTGCTGGCCCTCGCGGCGGCTGCCGATCTGACTCAGTGTGCGGATGATGATGGCGCGGGTACGGTCGCGGTTGGCCTGCTCGGACTGGGAGCTGGTGGAGGAGAGGGCGCGGATGGCATTGAGGCGCTGGAAGGGGTTGTTGACTCGGGTGACGGCCATGTTCTGGCGACGAGCGACACGAGGCACGGCGCGGCGGGCGCCGGCCCGAAAAACGGCAGAGGTTGCGGAGAGCATCGCGACTATTTGGACTTTTGGTGGGAAAACAGGTCAGCCAGGTTTGCGACGTCGGCGAAGAAAGCAATTGAGAAGCAGAGGTGTGTATTCCGTGCTCTTCGCCCTCGTCATTTACTCTTCTTTCTGTCCATGCTCTCTTCTACCGGTATGGTATTCCCTCGTCCTCAGTGTCGTTGCGGTCGGCATCCCGAGGAACGGCGGTAGAGCAATGTGGAGGCGGATGGACTCGACGAGAGGTATAGAAGGGCAAGGGAGGACGTTTGGGTATAGTTCAAAGTGCATGAGCTCCTTGACGGAGCATTGGAGGCCTGGAAAGGATAGAGAAGACTCACACACACACAAACACCTCACACAACAGACCCAGGCAGATTAGCTTCGAACTCGGTCTGAATGGCCGACTCTCTCTCTCTGACTCTTCTAGCTGCCGGGAAGAGTGTCCAATTCCAGTTCAATTGAACAGCCCGGAAGGGTATGAGAGGTGATTGACGGGGAAGGGAAGAAGGTAGGAGAGAGTAAGAGAGTAAAGGAAGGAAGAGAGAAAAGGGAGAGCGTAGGTGTTGAGGAATCGGAGAGACGAGGCTTTTTAC